CTCTTTGGGATCTTATGAGTGACCAACGCCACGCCAGTCCAGAAATAGCTTGGACGTAATAGTTAACGATAACGTAATTGGCGATTAGCGGAGACTTTTTCTTTCGCTTCTTACGACTTCATACCGAGGCATACTTGGCCTACTTGTACTTAATTCCTCGTCGTTCGCGAGCACCACGCAAAGTGCCATCGCCATCTCTAACATCGACTGCAATCTCGTTTCAATGCGAAAGCCATTATACGCCCGCTGCCTCGGGCGTTTTTTCAACGATAACGTAATGCACATACAGCGCGAACGAGGAAAAATATTTGTTATTTATTACGTAAGAGCTGTTTACATAGATGACAAAATTATGATTAAAATAACGAATTATTATTATTATGGGAGAAATGATAGAAGACAAAGAATGTGTCATGAAATATTTCTCCTGCAAAATTCCTGCTGAATTTTTAAATACTCCAAATTCAAACTTTGAGTCCGAACTACATAAATAAAAAAAATATTGTTCGATCTAACGAATGATTGGGAAGAAATTTGTACTAACTAAAACTAAAACTAAACTAAGATTAGACGAGATCAAAATAATTACAAAAAAAAATTCTAATATAAAGCAAAATCAGAATAATTGCGAGAGAGGCCAAGAGAAGATAATGAGAAATAACTAAATGTCAAATAGGAGAAAAATTAAATTCTTTCATAAAAAATTCGAATAACAAGTTTTAATAACTTGCACGTTTTAATAGCTTCATATATTAAGATATTGCGCGACCATTGCAGAGACATGTAAATAATTCAAACATTGAAGAAAATGGCGAGAATGGCGAGCAGATGACGGCACGCAGGAATGCGCAACGTGGATACAGCTGACGCGTACTCGTCCGAGAGAGAGGACATTTGCTGCAATGACAGGAAAGAATTGTCAACGTATGCGGCGCGATTATTATTCTCGTTTTACGAGCAGATTGCAAAGTCATCCTTCGCTGACGCGAAGAAACGTTAGGAGATATTCCAAGCGTCGCGTCCACGAAATTACGATCGTATGGGCAAATTTACATTGAGTTTACATACATTATCTAATCCTTTAACACTTCTCGTAGACTGACCTTGTCATTTAATATACTCAAAACGATCACGACGTTCACGACTTTGGTTATCTTTAACCTTAAAAGTTGGTTTCTTAAAAATTTCTTCTTTTTAATTGCTTTAAAAAAATTTTTTTAATTTCTATTTATGTTACTTTAGCAGTTGATAAGTTAAACTTTGACTCTAATTATTTTTCTCTATCTCTTAATTTAATTTAAAATTAATATGAGAAAAAGAGGAAGTGTTATTTTGGCTTTGAGATTGTACTGTTAAAGACCGATAGGACTTTGAATTTTCTTAGTCGTTTAGATTTCAATCGCGAAATTCAATCTCGTTTCCCTAAATCCCGCTCGCCTTCCACTTCCCAATTCTCATTTTGAACGTTCATTGTTTCCTTTTTTAATCAAGCAGAGTGCCTTCCAGCAGCAAAGATTTCTTTCCGATTGTGGAGCATCACGCACGTTAATAAATGTCGAAGCGATAGACGGCGCGCGCCGGCGACAATTGTTCACGAAAGTAGGACGACGACGTTGGTCACGCTCAATGGTTCTTAGAGCAAGAGAGTAGCGGTAATTATTCGCATTTTGCGCGCGTGTTTATTCGCTCCCATGGTGAAATCTGTTCGATATCGGGATGTCGCGTCGAGCCGCGATCGGCGGAATCCTTGAATTACGCGGCGTCGAAAGCAAACTCGCCGCGCGCGCTTTCGCGTCACCTGAAGCAGCGAGGATCCTCGTGATCGCACGGGAGAGTGGGAAAGAGATGGAGAAACGCATGATCCAGATGCGCAATATTTAATCCGAAGCGCGAATTAAATCATCATCTCTCGCGTGCGTTGAAGTGCGCGATATGGTAATTTCATGCGGCAACTCTGAGGTCGCGCGCGCGCGAATCAAGCGTTTCCGGCGATAACACGTTTAAGAATTCTAGCAATCAGAGTGCTCCGAATACAGAGATTCTGAGAAACTGAGATCTCAATTATGGAATTTTTTTGGAAGATTTTATGAAGTTAAAAATTTTTAAAAAATACCGATATGAAAAACAGTCGAGAAGATGAGACATTCTGAAGATCTGCGTACCTTGAAGTTCAGCTGTTCAAACATTTAATAATTTATGATTTTTAGAGCTTATCTTAATTAAAAAATTTAAGTACATAAGACGCTAGAACAATCAAGCATCAATAATTTAAAAGGTAAAAAAAATCAGGATTAATATTTTAATTTTATAATCAAGATACTTAAAATCAGAATGATGAAAAAGGATATAAAAATTGTAGAATAAACAACAATTATGAATACTTTCTTCTAATCTTTTTAGTACGAAAGATGTTTCCTTTCACGTTCGTCTTTCCATTAGATATCGGATCTGAAACTTTCGTGGCTCAAATTGATGAGAAATATGGAAGCATGACTCAGAATAAACGTCGAACCATCTTTATTTTCTCACTTTCATCAAGATCGTTCTGCAGACCCACCTTAGCCGGATATGTCTTGTTTATCTTCGTTAATGTATTCCCCTACACGCCCTCAAATTCTTTAACCCATTTTTTTTTTAGAGCAATCTCTAATCTTCGAATGTTAAATAATAATCGACCAGCAGACGCGCACTTCTAACATTATTTAAATATTTATTACATAGCAGTATTAGGAATATTTTAAGCATCAAATATATTATTTACAATCATAGATCGTCATTAAAGCATAATTAAAGCATTACTATATACATATTAAGCATTAAGTTAAGTGAAGCAAAATACATACGAGATGTCCAGAGATGTTTATAATCGGGTAGAGGAATACCCGAGAGATGCTGGAAAGACAGGATTTCAAATTAGAAGCTCGACACTGATCGGGAAAGATCGAAAGTTAAGGAGAAGGACGCGGATCAATCGGATTTTGGCGATGCTCGCTTGAGACGGGAGAGCGAGAGAAAATCACGACGCGAAATCACGACGACGTGATGTAATCGACGAGCGGGAGGAAATTCTCTTCGACTGTAAACAACCGCGCACACCTTCGCGATCGCGAGGTAGCGTTCAAAAGCCGCCGTTCGCCACGGCGGTTCGTGTGGCACTGTCGCGCGAGGTCGTCGAGCCTCGTTGCCTCCTAGGTAATCGACAGCACCTAGACCGGTGCCTGGTGTCTAGTGTTCTAACACACGTCACGCGATCTCTTCGACCTACCTGCTTGGCTGCAGTTAGCGTGACCCGGTTAAGGACCGGGTCAGGGCGTCGCCGCTCCTGCCCTAATTCTATCGTTAGCGGGAAATAAATGGCGTTTCGTAACGTAAATAAGTAAATGAAGGCATCAAAAATATAAGGCTTACGGTATACATAACGAATTACGCAATAAAAAAGAAAATGTATTGAAGTATGAAAGAAGAATGATCAAAAGGATCATTTGAAAGAGATCTTTCGTCTCTTTATCGATCAAACAGCTTTATTTATTGTGCCGCCAGTATGAAGATCGAAATGTATGAAATTTTATTTTAATCTTCTTTTTAACGTCGAACGAAAGATAGGGATTGTTTGTGTTGGTTGATTCGATTTGATATTGATTGGTTTGATTGATATTGATTGGTATTGATTGGCAGAAATTGAGAATTTCTGATTACATTACAATCGCACCATTTTTGTTGCATATTACAAACTTTTCAATTGCACCACAGTCTTGCTGCAAAGCGATATGTCTAATATTTTATTTAAAAAAAAAAGACTAAGGCAAGTTAATTCAAGATTTTTTTTGACAAACTTCCATGCTGCAATTGACTGCGATTCCACCCAGTTTCTCCTTTAGCTGTATCCAATCGCAGACTCCGTTTTCGCAGCCTTCGAGGATCAAAGGATTTTCATTTAGGTAGAAAGCAACTTTAAAAGGAGTATCGCATCTGAAAAAAAAATCATACGGAATAAAATTGTTGAAAAAAATAATTATTTCAAAGAAATTCTTGGACTTGATAGAAGAATTCTTGAAGTTATAAGGAAATTAAAATTAAAAATTAATAATAAAATCAAAGTTAAAATCAAAATTAAAATATAAATTTCTTTTTAAATCTCTTTTAGATTTCACAGTGTAACGCAGTGGAAAGAACGAATTTTGTTGAAACTATTTAAAAATTTGGCCAGATACAAATCTGAAAATAATTTTATTGGTCTATTAAATTTATTATGTACGATATGCTTAAGCATTGACAACAAAGCATGATAATAGCACATTTTTTTATATACTATATATAGCAATCAATTTGAACATCTTACATATTTATTTCTATGGCCCATAAAATTATTTTCAGGCAAAATTTCTGGCAAAATTTTTAAACTTCAACAAAATTCCTCTTTACAAATGATATTTTGACGATCGTTACCTATGAAAGACCGCCGCGAAATTCGCGGTGAACGGCATCAACAGGGAGGATCTCCAGTTTCTACGATACATGTCTCGGAAGTTCGCAGTCGTCAGCGGCACGGAATCCTTGCCAACTCCCATTGCAGTGAGGAACATTCCTATCATATGCGAGTGCGTGAAGTAGAACACTCCCCTTGGTTCATCGCCATCCTTCACGTTCTCCAGTTTTCTATTGATTTTCACTCAGAATAAAAAGAATGTACCATGTGAAAAAAGAAAGTACCATGTGATTCTTTGGAACCAAGGGAGGATGAGGGAGCGTACGATTTCGCTTACGTGAAATGATCGAACATATCCCGGATAGGATGGCACCCGAGCTCACCGTTGATTTTTTCCCCCGGACCGGATCGGTAATAATAAAAGAGATCCTCTTCGTATTCGAAGACTTGCATCTCGTTATTGGTGAACACGTCACACCAGGGAGAAGATTCATCCGGATTCCAGCCTTTCTCAAAGCGACACGCGTCGTAAAATAGAAATGCATCCTCTGAAGCCATTATAAGTAATTTACAATTTACAATTGATTTGATGAATAAATAGTTGATGAGTAGTAAATGAGAGTGGATGTTGAGTAACTAATTGAAAAATTAATATTGTTTAATAACTTGCCTTTGCTAATATTTGCGAGATCTAAACGCCGGCTGACATTGGCAAAAATTCTCACCATTTCTGCGCCGTTAATAAATGCGTCCACTTCTTTGTTAACTCCTACATTTTTCCAGGATTCGCAAGAGTCATATATCTATTTTATAAATGTATGATATAAGAAATATCTGTGATATAATGTAATATTCACAATACATCTTTTTCGTAAAAAAAAGAAAAAAATTTACATTTATCATCAATTGAAAGCATATCTTTATATAAATAAATTCCTTAAATATCTTTTTTTATTGTTCAATGGCATTATTTTTATGTTTTTCATAACATATGGAATTATGAGTGGAATTGTAAAATATAAATTGTCGATTGAAAGCGGACTTTAATGAAAGATATGCTTCTTAATTTGCTACCTTTAATAAGGTGTCATTAGCAGTTGGCACTATCTCAAGCTCGATGATTGAAGTGTCATTGGCAACGTCTTCTAAAAAATAGATTGCAGTTTGTTGCATATTCATCGATTCGAACTGAAAGATAAATATAACTTCAGGTCGATAAAAAAAATTGATTTATCTTTTCTCATAATATTGTTCACATTAATACAAAGAAGAAAACCGAATAAAAGAAGAAGAACCGAATTGCTTAATTGATTTCATTAAACAGTCGTATATGGAAAGGAAAGAATTGATAGGATACATGACACGTTCCCTCGTGTCGTTTGTTGCAAAAGAAAACTAGTTTTTAATCGACACACTAATAAATTCCTCGATGACACATTATCTTGCGTTATTACAGGATCATGCATTATTCATTGTAATTAAATCGACATTTGCATTGTTTTACATATTGAAATGTTTCTAAAAGATACGACGATTGACTCTTAAATTCACCCACGATTCTCTAGATCGTTATTCATTTGCTATGTATATTTTTAAGAAAAATATAATTTACAATTTATAAATATTACTTGCAATGAAATGTTGTTGAGTGACTCTATTTCGGGTCTGTTGCCGAAAGTTCCTTTCATGAAGAAACTCATGCTAGTGATGGTGCGTTGTGTGCCCGTCGATCTAAACTGAAACATAGATAAAAAGATCAGTTTGACAAAAAAATTAATTAATTAATAATATAAATGTAATATTATATTAAATTTTGATTTACAACGCTCTTGAATTAATAAGGAGAAAAAAGTAAGAATCAATTTTTCTAATTTATTGCCTTAAATTTCTTGATCACATTCTCGTCGAACAGCATCGGTAATTTCATCTTGAGTCTCTCAGCGAGCGACATCAAATCCTTTTCACCTTGCATTGCCAGGTGTTTTCCTTTTTCCGGGGCGAGTTCGGAATGAGGCTTCCAGTTCTTCAGATCCTTTCTTTTGCATTGACGCGTGTTCTCTGGAATACCAATAAAAATTATAAAAGTAAACAATTCCGAACGAACGTCAGAATTTAAAAACTTTGAAACTCTTCACTCACGAGTCTCACTTTTGTTGGCCATTACACGATCTCGAATTTGCGTGAGATTCAAGATCCGTGCGATCGTAAGCTCATCTGGATATCGCGTACCATGTCTGCACAGCATCCAGATTTGCATCGGCGTGCAGTCTGAAAATTGTACATTCGATCAAGCTCAATTTTTGATGAGTTCTCGTAGCGATGAATGATACTCACTCGCAACAGCCATGCTTTCTCCGGTATTGTTATGAACATAAGAATACGGTGTCTTAGTGCCGGTGTAAAGATAGGGATCTCGATGACAATGTGTAGGATTCCCTAACGTTGCATTTTTTGCCAGACATATCGCGAATAGAAGAAAACAGAGTTTCCCACACATTTGGCGAATCTTCCTTTTTCAAACGAGATACTGAGAAGAAAGGAATAACGTTTATCGAAAATAAAGCGAGAGAACCATTTTTTTAATATCAGAAAAAAATAATGTAAACGTGCTATATTGTAACACAGTAACACAGTCAAATATTTAAAACATCAACGTTTGAATAAAATGTTATTTTAAAAATTCACTTGTCTAAATCTCGTGTGCGATGTTCCACGTAAGAAAGAAGAATGTGACCACTCTCGCATAAATTCTCGAATAAAAAGACGGACTGATGAGCAAAAATACCTTTCGAGTCCATATTATTGGCGGACTGTGCCTCTACGAGATTCTATAATCATATATTTTACGTATAATGATTAATCGCAACGTCGTAGAGCGAAGAATTCTAAGGAGATCTTTTTCCTTCAACGATCGAGAATTTCGGAATAGACTTAAAAACGTGTTACTCATAATAAATACCGAACACGCTACACTGAGCATGAAAAGTACGACCTTCGAAAGAAAATGCGGAATATTTATCCCTCTCGCTGTCCCACAGAAAACCAAGGGTAGTTTCGACGGACTGACTGGACTTCTCAATTATCGTAACTGTAACGACAATTTTGTACCTGAAAACAGTAGTAAATTTTTTTAAAGTATTTGTTAAAAATATTTGTTGTTGTTTATTCTTTTATTGAGCAAATGTATTAATTTAAACGAAACAAACAGGTTGATTATATTTTCCTGCGAATTTATCAAGTAGATTGAATCAAGGAACGGATAAAAAACTCGCAGATAAGAAACTCGTTATTATATCTATAAATCAAAAGTTTGTCAAGAAAATTTTCCATTTTTGTTAGAAATACAGCTTCGAACAATCATGAAAATGCAAATCATATATATAATCGCAATAATCGAAATGCAAATTAGTAACTACATACATATGTACCTGTCGAAGTTAAGCTTCTTCACACGTCGCCGTATCTCTGTCGCGATGTCGCCGCATAATTTCGCGGTTTCCGCATCGTCGTACGCGAACTCATCCAAACGATTATTCATTACCGATTTCACAATCTTATCCACCAGATCGATTTTGAACGGATTCTGTGGATCCATGCGATAATTGTTCTGATACTTTGGCGTCTGCGACAGATCGTTGTATTTGCAACAACTTTAAAATCCTTTTTTTTCTAATTTATTTAATTATTATTTAATTATTTAATTTTTCTTTAATTCAACTATGTCATTAACATATAAATTTTATATTTTATATTTTATATTTTTATATTTTACGTATTATATTTATTGTTTTATTTATTTTACGTTATATTTTTCAAAGTTTACATCTCATTATCTTAAAAAAAAAACAATTGACTTTAAATTTACTGAGTAACTATTATCTAATTAAGATTGTGTCACCTGTACGTTGATATCAATTTTGATAGTGCAATTCGAAAGAATACTTCAACATTTTTACCTCATTATCATCGCAAGTTTTTTCACTTGTTTCGAATTGGTGCGGCATAATATCGACGATAAATCAATCAGAATGGATCTTCGATTAAGTATTCCGAAAAATGTTTTCACTCCACTGTAAAACAATTGACTAGTTGGATAATCCTTACAAAGATGCACGTATCTAAGGTAAACGGCAATCAGTTACTTAGAAACGCTAGGGAAATCGATCGACAGAAGCAAAAATTAATAATTGCGTATAAATAAATGTCATAAGAAATTTAAAGAGTAAATTTAAATACAGGTTAGAAAGGTGAAATTAAATAAATTTCGCGATTTTTTTATGAAAATAGACGCAAAGAAAGAATATACAATATTTCAAAGAATTAATTGAATATGCAAAGAACTCAATATACTAATACAGGAACTTATTTCAAAATTTGTTATTGTAGAAGATACATATTACATTTGTATTATTTTAATAAAAGTATAAAAGAGTTGTTTTTACATCGAGTTGTTTTTTCATTATATTAACATTTTATGGAACTTTTAAAACACTTTACTATGCACAATTTCGCAAACAGTGTTATATTTTATTATAGGGATACAGTATATTATATATTAACGCAGCAGATATACTTAATAATTATCTTTATTTCATTGTACACATTATATTTAATATTTGTAATATGTCCACCAGCAATTTTTTTGGTCGCGGATATCGAAAAATGCCGCGTTTTAATTATCATTTAACAACTCTCTCGCTTTTTTTCTATCAGCATCTTTTCAATACGAAGTTTAAACATATCCCTTACGTGTCGCAGCAATAATCAATTTTTAACTTGCGTAAAATACGACAATGTATTATCAGAGTTGAAGGAATATAAGTTTCGAGAAAAATTTATGAACACGTTATACAAAATTCTTGTATAACGTGTTGTACAAGATTCTATCGAAATCTTTGGAGTTTTATGTAGATGCTTCCAAAGAACTTTGTATCAATTTTCAGTGTTTCGAAAAATTCTTAAAGACGCAAACACGAAAATATGTCCTGGAGAATGCGTAAAGCATTTCCCTTAATTTTAAATTGAGCCTTTTAATTTGATTATACAGTACAGTATGATGAAAATACGCTCTCTAAAATATACTGTATTACATTTATCGATACATCAATTCCATTCACAAATCCGAAGATGACATGATAAATCGATCATTTCCAAATTCCGCCGTGCAAGATCACAAGAGAAAAATAATTACAATCAAATAAATAATTAAATTAAAATATCACTAGTTTTAAAAATTATTTATCTATGTATATATGTACATATCTATTATTTATAACTTTTATAATCATTTTTTCTCATCTATATTATATAAATACTCATAATTGTAATCACAAGCGCGTTTATTGATTAAAAAATATTATTAACAAACTTTAAATTAAACTTTAAATAAAGTAACTAAAATAATTAAAATTTTTGTAATAAATTAATTAAAGGTATTTTAACTATGTAACAATTGTGCGTAAATGATTATATAAACTCTAGAATAAAGAATATAAAGAATTGTAAAGCAAACGCGATTTTGATACTCTTCTTGCAGTCTCAAGAGATTCGCATTCAATAATTGTTTTACGTTTCTGTAGAATCGACAACGTTTTTTGTGAGGTAGGCGTCTAAAATTTTTCGCCGGCTCTTCGACCGAAGCTCTTGACGAATCGACGAGAACGAAGCAGGTTCTTGGACAGCCGGATCGTCTTCAAAAACGTCGAGTGCGTAAAGTGCAAATCCTCGAACATCACAAAAGCAAAACAAGATAATTCTCTAAGAAAGCATCTCCACCTCCGCTTTAATGTTCTGGCGCGCCTGTTCTTCCAGCTTATCGCGAAACTCCACAGTGGCAAAGATGTTTGGAATCTGCAGAAAATTCTGCAACACCTGAGATATACAAATATCTGTGAGAGAACACGCGAGAATTTTAACAGAAAATTTACGAAATGTTATTATTACTATATCTTTTGGTAATTTATTTGGATTTGTTTGTTGAGATTGTTTTCCTGCTATTTATACTTCAGAGAATCAATTGTGTAGCTTGAACGATGTGAAAATTAGAAAAGTGAGGAAATTCATTAGAATATTTACGACTTTGTCGAAATCTAGTAAATCCTCACTAATGTAATTTTCACCTTGTTTCAAGATACATAATCGACCTCGCAGAGTTGTACGACATATGGCTCACCTTTAGCCGCAACGCCGTATACATGGGTTCACTGAGGAAAGAGTACTCTCCGCGTATTTTTTCTCTATACTCAGCATAACTATCCGGAGATGAGCCAAGCACCGCCATATCCAAGTCCAGAAAGTAGTGAGCATCTTCGCTGCCAAAGGCACCACCCACCTTATGCGCCTCGGTGCTATGAGTCGCCGTAACTTTGAGTAGAGTACAAGTCTCTTCTCTAAGTTCCGCATCCTGGAAGATTTAATTACTCAGATCACTTTCATAGTAAAACTAATAATTTAATTAAAATTATTTATATTTATTAAAATTATTTTATTTATCCAGTTTTTCAGTTTCTACTTCAAAATTTTCAATTTCTACTTCAAAATTTTAACAAATCTTACAAAGTGATATAATTAAAATTATTTTTTTGTTTTCTAGTATTTTAACTTCTCTTCTTTTCGTACAATGTAACGAGTTAATTGAAAATATTTTAAATAGTTGTATATTTACCGATGGAATTTCGGCTTCGTCGGCAAAAGCATTGAAATGCTCGATGTTTTTATCTTCGCTGAAATCCATAGCTTTAGGATCGTATTCAAAACTGTGAATAGAATATTAAGCTAGTTTGTTGCCGATAGAAATAATAATATCATATAATAATTCAATTAAATAACAAGGCAATAAATTTTGCTATTATAAGATTATAGATATCATTTGGCCGTCACTCACTTTTGAAAGAATATGGCAAGTAGGACGGCTCGTGGATTTTTGAGATTGCCTTTGATTTCGTAGTAATGATTCAATTTCTCTCTGAGTGAGTCCAGATTATGGTACGTGCGTTTCTCTTCCGAATAAAGTTCCTGCAGCCGCGTAAACCAGGAGTCACAAACCACGGCGTCCAAACCTTCTGTAGCTTCTTTCCAACTGTCCTCCAACGATGCCATTGTCGCTGAAATTTTTCGTTTCGTTAATCCACGAATGCTTTGTAAATATAAAAAAAGACATAAATTGTAATTCGAATAATTGTTTTTTCGTATAATTAGTTGATGCGTATAAAACTGTCCATTGTCGCTGAAATGTTTTGTTCTACGTAATCCACGAATGCTTCGTAAATTATATAAAAAAGATTTAAATCGTCTTTCAAATAATTTAATAATGAGTAGCTGACGTGTTTAAGATTGACATATTTATTTCATTGAAAACTATATAATATTACAATCTGAAAAATTTTAATGAACAATTTGCGCTTTCTCGGACTAGCATATTGAAATAATTGAATAGCTAGCAATTTAATATTCAGAAATCAAGTCAAGAAAAATTAAAATCAGATTTAATAATATCCCGAAGGAAGTTTTACATTTGCAAACGAAGTATTCGTCCCACAAATTGGAACGTTACAAACAAAATCCTCTTTTGGGATTAATTTGCAAATTGAAAAATGTGACCTAACGATCGTTTTCGTATCCAACGATTTATCATTCGAGGCGAACATTTGAAGATATCCACGTAGTGTATTTACGCGAGGATCAACGCTTGTAGGAAATAATAACCAGACGTTAGAGAATCATTCTGTTCTGACAACGAAGCGAACGAGAGGAATTCACGGAGGCGCCCCCGGAAACATTCGAGAAGAGCCGAGACGCGGGGGGAAAATCGATGAAGCCCGTCTCTCGGCCTCGTAGATCTCAGCGCAATACATTGAATCGCTGCTCACTCACTTGTTTTCCGACGGACGAACGGAGTCGCGAGGAGCCGCGGGCACAGTTTCGGGAATTACCGAAGCATGATCCACGCGCGAACACCTCGCGAATGAGCCCCGGCTACGGGAGCGTTACGCCGCGCCACGTTGGCCGACAAAACAGTCCGCATTTATTGATCGCTTCCGTCGGTGGCGACTCGCTCGTGCCTCGCCGCACAGGA